GGGAGTGCGCCTGCCACAACAGACTGGGTCAAGAAGAGAGGGTGGCAGTCACAGGTTTGAGCAAGCTTGGGTGAATTAGGTTTGCGTTAAGCCCAGCCTCATCACAAATCACCACAAGGTGCCTAAAATATCTTCAACTGTGAACAAATTATGACCTATTTAAATGTGAACAAATATGTGCACCTGGGAACTCCCAAGCAAAGCCAGTGCATAGGCCTAGACTTAAATTTAGAACTGTGGCACTCTCTCCCTCTTGCCCCTGACTTCCATATCCTATGGGATGCTCTGATTCCTGGCAACATTAGGCATAAAGGAAACCTTTCCTGAGAAAAAACATGGAGGCTGCCAATGCTGACTTCCTTTTAAAAATTCTAGTTGCCTGGCTATTTGTGAACCCTCTGGCTTTAATACTTCGAGTCACTGGCCTGTAACATGTATGTGAATCAGGAAAATGAATGAAAAGTAAAAAGTCCTTGTGTGCAGTCTTCTTCTGGGAAAGCAATTTCCTGAATTGAATCCAGAAAGTCAAAATGACAGCCAGTCAACTAGCATGTGTAGAATGAGAAGCCAACAACAACAGCCTCAGGGCTTCTTTCTAAAAAGGGTTTACTTTGAGGCCCATCTCTCAAGGTCAGATCTACTGCTAGTGGAACTTAAGGGGTTAAAATGACTTCCTGAGTTTGGGCGACATCTGTGCATGTAATCAGCAGGGTGGGTCTTTCAGTAGGTCACAGGACATTCATTAAAAAGTCTCTATTTTTAGTAAGCAATATAAAGCTTAAAGATTCTCTGGACAATAAAGTATAGTCAGACAGAAAAACTGGCTTTTCCTAGCCACCAGGTTGGTGTTAGCTTCCATTTTCAAATCACACTCACAAAATAAGTCCTGCACTTTCAAGGGTTACATTGTTTTGGATCAAGTGGATGCAGATGAATCCAGTTCCATGTGTGTTGCTGAGTTCTATGTGAAGCTTCCATATATTATAAATTCCTGCACAATCTAGCTCTTAGAGGCCCATTAGCATCTTTTGGCCTGGGAATACATACCAGTTCAGTATACCCTTAATTGGTTTTTAATGAGCTATGAAAGCCAGACTGCGTGCAGAACAGGATCTCCAGACTGGTATGAATTAAGGGAAATATTAACCTCCTTTGGGAGTTTAAATTTACACAGTTTTGGCATCCATAGATTTCAGTTTCACATATAAAAAAAAGACTAAAGGAAGACTTGCATATAGTATGTGCAGTTTTGTCTTACCTACTACATAAAGCTACTAAAACGACAAAGCAGCAAAAATGTCACAATACTTCAAATAGATAGTAGACCGTAACCACTGTTAATTTAATGTGCAGAGGTGTGTCTGGGTCTCTAAAACTGAATACACAGTTACCAACATTCCTGAACGAATCGGTAGGAGACTTTCCTGCAATAGGAAAAAAGGTCAGTGTGCTTTCCTTGCTGTCTGCCATGGTATCTTGTGCCCAACACCATTGTTGCATGTTTTGTGGGACATGGAGGGTATGTGATAGTTTGCAAAATGGGGGGACTTTTTGCAGAAAGTGGGACACCTGGCAACTAGCGAGCTATGACTCCTTTTATAGCAAATTGTCATTTTGGAAGCCCCCATACTGTTTGTATAGGTCTCTGATAAAACTGCAAAATGGCAGGAACACAAAGTCTTCTCAGGTTCAGGAAGAGGATGTAGAAGATCCAAGAGAACATGATACATTATGATAAAGGGGCCAACATTACAGTCATCCAGTACCATTAGTGATGTCATTGTCTTTATTGGGGAGATTATCCTTCACTTCCTGTCAGGACAGAACGGGATGGGAAATGTCTCCAATGAGGGCCAAAAACCAAATTAGCAATTATCTATGACTACAATCAGTAAGGGTACATCTTAGCTGTTTTTTTTAATGTTATTAAATAAAGTAGTTGGGGCAATTGCAAAAAAGGCATTTGCAACACTTTTCTAGCGTTATGACAAGCATTAGAAGTTCCTACCAAATGAATGAACTCCTCCAAGTTGGAGTAAATTGTGCCGTACATGTAAATATGGTGTTACAGACAAAATTCTGTCCGGGGAAATTCTACAACAGATTCATATATACCTTACCAACAGCTACATTAAAAGGAGAACTATGAGATGAGTGATTTCCACTCACCTCATAGTTCTAGCCGACCTGTGACAATGAGACTGTCACAGGTCGGCTCAGTAGATCGGGAGGTGAGCGAACACATACCAGGTTCGCTCACCTCTCGATCCTGTCACGGCTCTCTGCCGTGACAGGGGGAGGGCTGGATTCCCCTCTCCCCGCTCCGATCTGCCAGCGCTGACTGGCGGAACGGACGGGGGAGGGGGCGGGTACAGCTGGCTCTGCCTCTAGATAGGCAGAGCCATCTGTCACTCACGCAGTTGGGCGGATCCCATCATCTACGGCGAGATCCGCTCCGGCTGCGGCGTCTCAGTATACCGCGAGCTGTAGCTCGCGGTATACTGAGCTTAGGGTAATGGGAGGACGCTAGTTTGTGTCCTCCCGTTACCCTAAGGAGAACTATAGGGAAAAACACTGACCCCATAGTTCTCCTTTAATCTGTCGAAAGTTGCGCCATTTGTTGCACAGAAGGGAGATAGCTTTATAAAATGTATCTTTCACACTCTTATTGCAAGGTATGTGTCTATGTAAAGATTTAAACAAGATGAATAAGGAAAACAGGGACTGTCCCAAAAAAATGTGAGGGGGATAAACAAGCATTCTTCTAGGAGAAAGCCAAATAAAATCCTGACATTTTTGCAGTCATATAAAACCTATTAATACCAAAAATCTATTTGAACTTTTCACATTTCTCAGTTACTAGAATTTCAGGCAGTTTCTAATGTTTACAGTGCTGTCCCATTTCATTTTTAAGTGTCCTCCAGAGATACAGGCCAGCTGCTGTTCCTTATACAAGTGCCTGGGCTACTGACTGCTGCTTGTTCTGAGTAACAGGATATAACTATACTATCTCTCCTCACGCTCATTTTCACTTTCTGTATCTAGAAACGGATCAGAACATTGCCAAGAAACAGAAACTGGCTGTGCTCATTTCAAAACGCTGACAGACACTGAAAATACTGTATACTGATGCTAAATCCTTTCCTTGAAAGCTTGTTAGACACTGTTTTGTTTGAAGTTGGTACTACAAAAAAAGTGAACAAAAGCCAATAAAATTACAGATACACTGTATTCTTATCAAAAATGGCAAAGATTACAAAGTCAAAACACTACATTGGCTAGGGATTCTCTTGTGATAGTAATGTACCAATGGCAATTAAAGAGAAGGACCTCTAATTATAGTGTGTAATATGGAAAACCCTACTTACATTCAGAATGATTAGCCTCTTTTTAAGGGTAATAGAGCAGAGAGTTTGGAGTTTAAGTGATACTCTTTATTGGTTAACTTATCAAAGATTTAAGCTTCCAGGATTCCTTAGATCCTTCATTGAAGCTATTAAAGATGCAAGCTTTTGGGATTCCTCAAATCCCTTCATTGAAGCTGTTAAAGATGCAAGCTTTTGGGATCCCTTAGATCCTTTTTTTTTGAAGTTGTTAAAGATGCAAGATTTCTGGATTTATTAGATCCCTTCGTCAAAGGGATCTAAGGAATCCCATAAGCTTGCATCGTCAATTACTTAAGCTAACTAATAAACTGTATCACTCCAAACTTTCTCTCTAACAGATGGCTAACATGGTACAACACTCTACTACTGCTGAGGGTAATAGACAAAGACACACATCCTTGATTGCTATACACATGCTGTGGTTCATTCTCCTCTACAGACAGCGGGGCTAAGAAACAAGTTTACGAGCAGCCTTTTCTAGCAAGAAGCAAGTTGGCACAAAAGAGACAGCTGCCCTAATGAAACACAAGTAAAGCTTACCCCAGTGTTTGTCCTGAATCCAGTGCCTGAGCTGTCCCAATCCTTCCTTCTCTCTTTCTAACTCAAAATTCCAGCCCTGCTTTCTTGCAAGGAATGATGTCACAGGAATGGGGGCTGGGAATTACACACAGGGCAGCTCTGACTTCAAGTCAGTTTGTACAATGAGACCCTTCTAACACTAGTAAAAAAAAATGTGTGTGTGAGGGCGGGGAAGGGAAAGGAAATCCAGGCCTCTTCTTTACATACACAGGCTTGTTGTCCAAGACTTCTGACAGCGTCTGTCTGCCTTATACCTTACTCCTTCAGTAGTTAGTAACGGGGATTTCTGGGCAGCTTGAGCAGATGTTAACTTGAGAGTGTCACTCAGGACAGCGCTGCCTGAAATATACATCATGGAGGAAAAGGGGGTGGCGGAGAGGAAGTACAGCAAAAATTTCTATTGTGATGAAGTAGCTAGGAAGGATATATGTTTGGCTTGCTTGGCTGCTTTCTTGTGATTATTGTAAAAAACAGGCGATTTATACATTTGCAAAAAAAATTACAAAGACTACATGTAACAAAACGGGTTTGTAATTTTAATAGAGATTATTTGTCCTTGATAGAGAGGTTAAAAAAATAAAAAATCTGATGATTTACCTGCTTCCAGGAGGTGATCAGGTGGGTACTCATCTGCGCTATGCAGGGAGTTTAAGGCCCCTTTTACACAAGCTGATCAGGGGGAGAACCGTTTATGGATCCCCTTCCTGATTGGAGCAGTACAGATTGGACGTCACCGCTGTGATATCCGTGTCCGTCCAGTTTTTTGCTCCATCTTGCGATGGATGAAAAAACTGAGATGACCAGACCCCATGTTGGATCTATGTGGAATCAGATGCAAATGGTCATGTGTCTGTTTACATCAGATTATCCCCAATCTGGCACAATCAGGTCCATCTAAATGGAACACTGTTCAATTTGTTTTTCTGGACCTGGCCGAAGTCTGGGGTTACCGTGTGTAAGGCCCCATTCCCACTAAGCGATTTATCGCACGATTTTGCGCATTTTTGCAGCGCGATATCGCAAGAAGTTGCCGGCCAATGCTATTCAATGGAGCTGTCTTAGCTCCATGTCGCCCGTCGTTTTCGGCGGATTTTGCGCGATTTTTGTATTTTTTAATGGAGCCCGACGGTGAAGGTCGCGCTACCGTCACTGGAACGTCGCCCCGAAAGTCGCGCTATCCCGGCCGCGCGGATCCGCTGCAAAAGGTAAGTCGCTTAGTGTGAATGGGGCCTAAATCAACACTCATCTATTTAGACCCAGCTGCCTGGATTTGCCTGAAAAACTGACAGGCAGACCCAGATCGACTGCTCGTGTGAAAGGGGCCTAAAAGTTTGCTTTAATTTGCAGATTCATTAAAATTAAAATAAAATCCCAGAATCGGATTAAGCATTTGAAGAGTACTACTTTAGAAAACTGGCCAGAGTCTTAAGCTGGCCATACATCGCCAGCTTAAGATAGCAGGACTCACCCCATAGATTTGGGGTGAGTCCTGCTGACTCGTCTAAACTTGTATGGTCCTGCGAGTAACACTCAAAAGTTGATTTTTTAAAATTTGTTGAAATTTCTGACTACAAATTGACTGCAATTATCTGCAGTCACTGTTTGGGTATACTGACAATAGCTTGGCACAGGAGATTCCCCCAACCAAGCTTTTTGTATGGATGGGGGAATTAAGCATTTTTTCCTTGTTTGACCCACAGGGTGGATGTATGATCAGCTTTAGGCATAGCATCCAACTGTCCCTATTTGGAGGGACTGTCTCTCTTTTGGAACCCCTTGGTTGCCCCTCTTTTTGATGATGATGTATGAAAAATGTACTATTATACTATCAAAAGTGTTTTACTACTTTAAACCACCATCCAACCTCTAAATGACTGCATCTGTTATATGGAAGAAGTAGTGGGGAAAAATATTACTTGTTGGTTTAAACAGTCATGTTTTGCCACGTGGCAAACGTGTGTCCTACGCTTACATACTTTGTACTATAATGTGCCCTTCTTTACCAAAGTTGGGAGGTATGGCTTATGGTTCAGTATCAAAGTTGCAAAAAAATTATTTAATTATGTTGTCAAGTGTGATAATATATTCTGAATACCTAGATATTCACAACAAAATATGGTAAACACACAATTTAGTAATGTGTGTGCGCATGTGTGTATACAGTATATGTACAAGTTTATTACAGGGGTCTTGTCATTAGCCATCCAGTTCGTCAAAAAAAGGATTAAATTGCTGTTAAGCCATTTAGGATGACATCATTGTAGATGGCAGTACCACAATTCCCTGTAGGCCTTAGATTGTTACACACCGCTCATAAATGGCATTGAATGCTTCATGCAAATTCCACCCTGACCTTCTGTGCACTCTTTAAAGCCTGGGAAAATATTTTGTACTGAACGTATTGATCCAAAACACAAAAGCTGCCACTGGCTTTAATTTTTGATACCACATGTTAAAAATGCCATGGAATACTGATCCTATGGGTGTTGAAGTTGGGGTTCACCTAAACTGATCCTGTGTCCGTATTTAATATCCAGCACACAAAGCCTCCGAGTGGCTCAGCAGGACTAAGGAGCACAAGCCTCATGCCACCTATACAGTCAGCATACATAACATTATAAGCCTAAGGTCCCATTTACACTAGTGCAATTTTTGTTTGCTGTCATGATGCACCATACAACAATAGAAATAGAATTGTGCCTATTCACATCAATGCAACATGGTGCAGTATGATTTTTGGAAAGGTGTTGGTGCTTCTTTTGGTGCTACACAGTGCGTATTTGACCCCATAGACTTCAACAGGAGTGCATGAAAAATATACATGTACATGCAAGTTTTTTGTGTTTTTGTGCTTAGGCTCTATTCATATCTTTGTGATGCAGGAGCGATCCTGCATTGCATGTTACAATGTTAGGTGTGCTGTGGTGTCATTATTTCCTAATGGGACCCCAACGCACCTAGCCATTGCATGTGCATTGTATTGCACCACATCACATAGTAACCTATTACCATGCAATATGGTGTAAGGCAATTAAAAAAAGGTGCTTGCACTTCTTTCAGTGTGATTTAGGTGCGGTAGGCAGCCCGTTCAAATGAATAGACTGCCCAACCACAACACATTACAAGCGCACCCTGCAGCACCTCTGCAATGTCACATCACAGGTGTGAGTGAGAACTTAAAGTCTCCTCAAAGAAAGACAATGTCTAATGATGTTACTGCAGATATTGATTGTCATTGGCAAAAAGAAAAAAATGCAATAAACATGAAAACCCATCAAAGACGTGCATAAACGCGCTACCATAACGCACATAAAATGAACAATTATGCCGGAGAACGAGTGTGAGCTTAGGCTAAGATGCACTGCAGTACTTTATATCATACACTGTAATTAGTAAAGAGGAATAAAGTAGAGGTCAGACTATTTTGTAGCCAAGATTAATCGCTGCTACAAATCGCTGATGCAAGGGACTGCAGCTGGTGATTTCCTACTGAAATTCATTAAGAGCATTATTTTCCATAGAAATGATTAGGAATGATTGTCGCAGGCGATTTTGCCACAGTGACAAAACCTTGCTGAATCTCGATAGCTGAACACCAGAGCAACAAGTAGCTTTACCAATTAAGAGTCAGCGACCCCATAGGAAATCATAGAAGATGGCGATCACCGGCACTCAGTCAGAAGCATTAGACTCTTTTGCTTATTTATTGAAGATACATGTCACAGGCGTCATTTAGTCACTGTTTCGGGGCTACGCAGGGTCCCTTCTTCAGAGTGACATAGTGACATCACTATGTCACTCTGAAGAAGGGACTCTGCGTGGCCCTGAAACGCTGGCTAAATGACGCCTGTAACATGTTTCTTCAATAAATAAACAAAAGAATCTAATGCTTCTCACTGAGTGCCGGTGATTTCCATCTTCTACGATTTGGAAATACATGGCGCTCTCAGTGCAATCACTACGAGCATTAATCAAGGTCCAATCACTGTAAAAAGTGCATGTGACGCATTACAGAACTCCATAGAAAATCATTGTACTCATTTGACATCAAAATAAGGAAAAATTAACTCTTTCTAGAGGTTCCACAATGTTAATACCTTAGGAGTGGAGGAACTGGCTGTTCAATTCCTTCCAGGTTTTCCGGACTATGGTGGGATGGGATCTCCAGTCCTGGGGCCAGGTGTTGCCAATGGCCAGGTTGGGCTGATCAGATGGCTGAGAGCAGCCTTATTAGGAAGCAAGCCCAGTGCTCAGAAGAGAGATGTGGATGTGTAAGAGGCACACGATGACAGGCAGACTGCATGCGTGAGCACAAAGGACACATCCAGGAAGGTTGGAGAGGTCCAGAGGTTTGGTGACCCTGTGATACCTGTCGGGTAGACAGAGACAGGACGGTGACCCACAAGGGGTGAATACTAACAGGCCTTGAGGTGAGGAAAGCTGCCGAGGACTGTATTTCCAGGGAAAATCCTGGGACTATCACACTGGGAGTGTGTGGGACAGCCAGATGTCAGTGAGACCCAAACCATATTGTTGTAATGTAAGTCCAATGAACTGTTCTTTTTCGTTTATCATGTACTGTTGACCTTTTTGATGAATAAAGACTGTCCTTTTATGTTAAAGTCGGCTTCAGGAGTGGTCACTTAGCGCTTACCCTTGTGCTATATTCCCCAAACTATTGCAATTGGTGGAGAATGCAGGCAACCAGCGCTATCTGTCGCAGAGGCCATTCTGATTGCAAAGACCTGACCTAAAGGTACAGAGTGTGTAGAGACTGGAGTCTCTGAAAGAAGTTCTTGTGAACTGTGTTATGCTGGACACACACCTTACAACCATCGCAAGACTTTTGTCTTGCGATGGTTGTACGGTAATTAAAAAAACATACGATCTGCCTATCTTGGACAGGCAGATCGTACTTGCGATGATCGCAAGCCCGCCCCACTGAGGGGCGGGCTTCCGATGACCGCAATGCTGAACGGGCAGTGTGCGCTTGCGCGCACCGGCCTGTCCGGCCTTTTATCTTACGAACATGCTACACACCCGCCGAAAATCGTACGATTCTTGGCGGGTTTTCGAACCTGTTCCTAAGATAAAAGTCATGCGACCTGACAGTAGCAGCGGTCGCACGCCTTCCACACACCTTGCGATAATCGTACGATCGCTGGATTTCCTGCGATTATCGTACGATTATCGCAAGGTGTGTGGGCACCTTT